ATCAAAAGAAATTGAGGAGTTGGAAAGTTATTCTTGACAAAATTATCTTGAGAAGGGATTGGAGAAATTTGGCATGAAAGATACTAAACCTATGACTACTCTTCTTGCTAGTCATTTTTCAACTATCTGTTGCTCAGTCACCACAGTCAGTTGAAAAGGAAGAGTATATGGTACGGGTTCCATATTCTAGTGCAGTCAGCAGCATTATGTATGCAATGATTTGTACTCGTCCAGATATTGCACAAGCAGTCAGTGTGATTAGCAGATATATGTCTTGTCCTGACATTGACAGGCTATAAAGTAGATTTTTTAGATACTTGCAAGGGACTTCAAACTGTTGTTTGGAGTTTGGGAGAAATAATGACACTTTTGTTGGTTTGGTAGACTTTGACTATGCCGAAGATTTTGATAGGAGAATATCACTTTCAAATTACGTATTCTGTATTGGCGGTTGTGCAGTAAGTTGGAAAGTTACTTTACAATCTGTTGTAACTTTATCTACTACGGAGGCAAAATATATGACCATGACCGAGGCAATCAAAGAAACTTTGTTGTTGAAGAGTTTGTTTGGCGAATTTAGTCTGCATTAAGGTGTTACTACTATTTACTGTGATAATCAAAGTGCCATTCATTTGACTAAAGACCATATATATCATGAAAGGACGAAATACATTGATGTGAAATTTCATTTCATTCGAGATACTATTGCTGAGAGAAACTACTTGTTCAGAAAATCAATACTAAGGAGAATTCTGCTGATATGTTCATGAAACCTCTTTCAGTTTACAAGTTCAAGCAATGTTTGAATTCGGTTAATATTCGTTATTGGTGATTTAGGCCCATTGGAGCTTATGTGAAACAGGTGAAGCAGCTTTACTATTGTTGATATTGGGGACACGCCAAGGTGTAGATTTGTTAAAGTGGTGTTGTCCCACATCGTCTTTTGTATAAGGGAACATTTTCCTTAGTTGCGTATAAATATAGTGGGCCTGTGATGGGATTAAGTGTACCAAATCAAGAGATCTTTAGTGGGTTATTTGTACCTTTGGGTCATTAAACTTTTTGTTTAATAAAATATTTTTGGACTCTCTTGTGTTTTAAGTATTAGGTGTTTTAGGGTTTAGGAACACTTTCCTAAGGCATCTTTTGTACTCTCTTCTTCATAGTAAAATATTTCTCCTCCTCCGCTCGTGGATGTAGATCAATTTGACCGAATCACGTAAATTCTTGTGTTCCTGTTTTATTTATTTTTATTTTGTTATTTGTCCTTTTGGAGTTGCCAAAATCCCTGTCGTCAATTCTGTGGGATCAAACCTAACATATTATAACATGGTGAAATAAGAGAAGAACTCCAACAGTTACTAAATTCCGATGGATATGATCTCATTATACCTGAAACTGATTAGAAAACTTGAGGAAGCTGAAAAGTGAAAACCTTGAGACTCTGCCAAGAATGTGTCATGATTGTTGAGTGTTACGGGAAGGATGGTGAAAGTTGAACTAACAGCAGAGCAGACCACCAATGGCCTTACGGGTTCATGATAACGGGCCCTCGTGAAGGAAGTTCCGGGGAGTGTCCAAAGAAAGCTAGTGGAATTGTATTTGATCAAATACCTCGATTATCAACCAATTTGTCTTTGGCTACCTTGCAAAACATGAGATGCAACTCTGGCTACAAGTTAGGAATCCAAACGATTACACTTACAGATGTATCCAAAGAATTGCACATATTTTTAAATCCAAAAAGTATATTGCAACTCTCTAGAGAGTTGCATCTACTTTTAAATTCAAGAAAAAAATCTATTGAATACTATACACTCTCTTCAAAGAATGTCTATTACGATTACTAAATGCCAGGATAGAGATAACTTTGACTTAAATACCATTGATTCCCCACAGTATGTATATGTGTATTTATCCCTTTGCTTATACCATAAAATTGACACCAAAACTTCGATTTTGACTTAGATTCAACAAGATCTAATTGTAGGGATCCCACAAAAAATGATGATTGGAAAGATTGAATTAGTACATTCACAAACATATTTGAGAGACTAAGCTAATTACACGCATAAGAATATGCTTGGGCTAATATATAAATATAAATAAATAAATACACACACATGTATATATATATATATATATATATATATATATATATATATATCATTATGGCCTATATCATTATGGCCTAGATCCAGCCCATATACAGCCTCTGTTCACCTTTTATCTTCTCCAAAAGTTAATAAGAATTTGCAACTATGATAAAATTCAATTTTCTTGCCCAAAAATGCCAACGATGTGAAAAGCATGAAGAGAGCAATCCATGTTGAAACAAAAGGAAGTAATCTGTGATTTTTATGCCTCCTAAAGCTATATACAACATAAACGCAGTGAGAAAAAACTTCAATATTACAAAATTAAGATGGAGTATGATATCCTTTTACCTTGCAATCTTGGACAACCAAAATTTTCGGGCCAAGTTATCTTCAAGACGCTGAGACCCTGCCAATACACGAAAGTGTGTATTATGTTCTCGTTAGTTTTCACAATTAAGAAGCAGCTCCAAAAATATTGAATTAAGACTCCAACAATTGAACTAAGATTTTTGTTCCAAGTAAAGCAATTATGTACTTGATGAAATAAGAAACAACTCTGACAATTACAAAATTGTGATGGTATGATCTCATTGTACCTGAAATTTTTACAAGCAAGCTTGAGGAGGCTGAAAATCTTGAGACTGCCAAAGGTATGTACTTTTCTTCTTTTTTTCTGTTTTTCTTTTGATTTTCTACGAGCATGATTGTTGAGTATTGAGGAATCAATGATAAAAGTTGAACTAATAGGAGACCATGAGTGATTTAAAGAGTTGAGCATTACAATATCTAAGTCAAGGTCTTCCTTCCCAGTTCATATGCAAAAAGTCAAATTATTAATATTTTTGCTGCAATGTTGGTATAATTAATTGTTTTTATAGATTTTTTTTTTTGGGTATGCTTTCAGAGCACAGGATTTGGACGATTTTTGCTAGTGTTGGTATGGCTAATTTTTTATATGGACTGTTGTTTTTGCTATACTGTTATAACGCAAGATTTAGGTTGCCTAAATTAATTAAGCCAATTATTTCCCTTTAATTTTATGGGAAATTTTGGAAAAAAAGGAATGAGAAGAGTGAAAATTCATAAATAGGTGGTAAGTTTTAGGAAATTTATAAATGGGGTAAGGGCTATTATTCACATATTATTAAAAAAAAAATTTCTTGCAAGCTAAATTACAAATTAACCCTTATGTGTATATAAGGGCACTTGTATGTGCGCGTACATCATATGTGCATATTTGAATGTATATTTATATTTATCTGAAAAATACATGTTTATTCAGTAGGATGCATGCACATCGCTTTGAGGCTAATTTAGTCATTTAACAATAAAAAATTATTAGTTGCTTTAATTCATGAGTAATAACCCATGTCCCAGTTACAAATTTTGTAAAATTTACAACCTACTTAGATATTTGTTAATATTCCTATTCTTTTTTTTTTTAATTTTCCCAAATTATTTTGACGACATCATACTATTCTGCTCGATCATGCCATGCCATATTGCCATTTTGATGACTTAATGATAGCTTCTTAAGGAAGCAGGGGACACTTCCAGGAAGTGCTGCGGCAGAGACTTTGAAGACTAAAGGGAAGAATTTCTGACACTAGAAAAAGGGGAAGTAAACGGTATAGTCCATTATATAGCAGCCTGCAGAATTTCTGAGAAGGAGCTGTTGAAGTGCATAGTTGTTTCACAGTTTGTTTTCCGTAGGGTCTGAGTAATTATAAAGTACAAAAAGAATTGTACAAAAAGAATTTCACTTACTTTTAAACCTAAATAATGTGCAGTAGTATACCTTCGAAAGTTTAGATAGACTGTTTATTGAATGGTGCACACTCTCTTCAAAGAGTGTCAATTACGTATACTAAATGGTAGGAACTTAAATGCCATCGGTTTCTATAGTATGTAAATGTGTATTTATCCTTTTGCTTATGCAATATGATTTCTTAAAAATTATTTCCAAGCTATGAGAAATTTTAAGATGCTGTGCTCCAATTATAAGAAACATTACACGACTACTTAATTCAGCTGCATATTGATTCAGCAGTCAGCACTAATGTTAAGTAATGAAGTGGTAGCATCTTTTAATTGTATACTATATTTTGTTTGGAAGCTATATGAATAGAGATTATTGTTCATGTTATATAATTCACAAACAAATTGATTGGTAGAAAAATCAATCACAGTGATCACAACTTAATAAAAACTTTAAAGCATAAGCATGAGGCATGAGTATGCAATGCTCTCGCCATTGTTTTTTCATTTTCAAATAAAATTTTGAAAGGGTTTTTCTTGGATTTTGCATGTGGACAAAATTTGAAAAATGAGTAAAATGCAATTTTGATATCTAAATTTTGACCCTTGAGTGATCCTAGTACCCAAATCACGTGCTGTCACATATCCAGCAACGAAATTGTAAAAAAGGTTTCATGTTTATATTTAATCGAAGGATTTTCAAATTGTCACTTCAAGCTCTTCATGTGAAACTATATTTCACAAACTTTTTTTTTATAACTTCATGATTTCATGGTTAAATCCATAAAGATTTGATTGAAATGAGGGTCTCAAAGTTTTTTTCCCTTTTGTTTTGGATTTGAGAGTATGGAGAGGAGAGGGGAGTTATGAGCGTGTATGATTAGCTTGATTTAGAATAAGTTATTTTATTTTTAGCTGAGTGATCCACACTCTATTATTCCTTAAACTGGGCACCATGTTAGCATTTTTTTTTTTTTTGAAAATTATTTTAAAAAATTTTGTTGCCTGACACAACATAGCAAATGATTTTTTTTAAAAAAACAATAACCAATTTCATTCCTAAACTTTTTGGCCATGTCAATTTAGTTCATGTATAATTTTTTTTGGCCAATTTAATCCCTATACTTATTTAGCAGTTTCAACTGAGGAACGCTACGGCAGCGCCATCATGTAAATTCAATCAAGTCACTAATTGAACAACTAAGCAGGAGTATTTCAAGTAATTTACTGTTGGAGTTATTAACAAAAGAAGTAAAATCCTTGAAGTACCCAATTCTAAACCTTGGGTTCTTGACTAACAAAAAGTCTCGAAGAGGCTGTCCAAACTCCTCTCCCATAAGCAGAGAATTTAGCGCAAAATCCAGCTCCATTTCCTGAGCTAGTTCAGCCAATGACAACTCCTCATCCATCATTAAATCCAGATCAGGCACCTTTTGCTCAACAACTTCGGTTCCCTCAGCAACATTTTTCACCTTTTCTTCAACTCCTATCTCTATGGGATCTGAGAAGTGAGGCCATCCAACCAACCACGTTTATATATACACACACACACACACACCCCCTCCCACATTCATTCACCGATCAACATCCATTCCAACGGAGAGGCAGAGACCTGGTCCTCAAGACAAAAAAAATTTCCTTCCTTGTCGAACCCACCAAAACAACAATGGAAAGAAAAACATAATAATAGCTCCACGGACTGGACTTCCATCTTTTCTTCCCAACTTTCTTGAACTTTCTCATTTTTCCTTCCACTACTCTTTACTTACATCTACAACCGACATCTAAGACGTCGCCGTCCTCGTCTCACCGTTGCAAACATGGATGCTAGGATCGGAGCACGGGACACGTGTAAGCCACTCAACAACGATGTCGGCAGTCTCCCCACCAATGGCGCGGTCACCATCCACCAATCTCCCCATCCCTTTCAACTCAGCCGATTCCACTCTCGGACGCCACCTCGCTCGCCGTCTAGTCCAGGTCGGTGTCAATGACGTCTTCTCCATTCCTGGCGAGGTTAACCTCACACTCCTCGACCACATCTTGGCTGAACCGGGCCTCAATCTCGTAGGCTGCTGCAATGAACTCAACGCCGGCTACGTGGCTGATGGCTACGCCAGGTCCCATGGAGTCGGGTCGCTACAAAAGACCCGAATCTTCCTCACGGGTTTAGAGTTCGGTGCTGAGATTTATGTCGGCAAGATTCCAATCGAGTTTTGAGAATATTGGGGCTTTATTGAAGAAGCTCCACTGAATTTCAGTTTCCTTTGTTGTTCTGTTACTGACAATCACCACTCAAAAATCCCTTTCCTCTGCAAACCAACAGAGCTCTTCTCTTCTTTTCCCAACTGTTTCGATCCAAAAGGACTTGTTCTGGAGTTGAGTGTTTTGGGGACTTCACATAAAAAGCGATTTTTATCACTTTTTTTTTGTTCTTCAGAGGGCCTCATGCCTGATATACATCCCAACAGTGAACTACCTGAAATACCCTTTTTTTTGGTTACTCAATTAGTAACATGATTAAATTTGTATGGTGGCGCCGCTGCGGCATTTTTTAATTGGAATTGCTAAATAAGTATAGGAATTAAATTGACTAAAAAAATTATACATGAATTAAATTGACACTACAAAAAAATTTAGAGATAAAATTGGACATTTTTCCTTTTTTTTAAGTTGAAACTTGAAAAATTCAATCAAAGATACTAAATGTGCTTAAATATTATAACATAAGGTACAAAATTTATTTTCATCCAAAATTTGGTCACCAAAATTGCTCAAGGGTCAAGATTTGATTACCGAAACTATGGCCCTGTTTGGAATTTGAGTTTTTGGGAAATTTGTCTAAAATTTTATTTTAGTGTATCGTAAAAATTTTTGAAAAAATTTTTTAAGATGAAAATTTTTTTTTCCTTTTTTTTTCTTTTTCTTTCTTTCCTTTTTCTCTTCTTTCCCCCCTCCCCCTTCCGTCCCCCGTCACCTCTGCCTCCAACATTGAAGAAGCAGCAGACAAGGTCCAAAATTTTTTTTTCTAAGAAGGCTGTGCGGATTTTGTACCCTGCAAATTTTGAACACTTCACTGTCATAAGGTGTGCCTGAAGACGTCATCATCTACCCTCTTTTTACGTCATCTTCCTCTGCCTTGGTTCTGGTTGTCTTCCTTTTTCTCCTCTACTGCAAAGTGTATGCTGCAACAATGAAGCTTTACTGCAAAACGGAATAGTCGGGAAGGATCAGCTTTCTCTTTTAAAAGCTTTCTGCATCTCGTTATACAAAGCCTATTGGCAGGGACCATCACTTACTGAATTTTGTCCATTACTGTAGAGGCACCTTTATTCCTATTACCTCGACTTCAAAATAATCAGCTCATCATCTCCTTTTCATTTCCCCCAAATGCTTTTCGTTTTTTTTATGTTTTTGAACATGTCCCTCTTTTGTTCTTTGCGCCTACATTTTTGCTTCATGATCTAAAGCACCGATGGAAATTTCCCATGGAAAGAAGACAGGAAGTTTCCCACGGAAATACCAGTCTCCATCTCACAAGGCCCGCACCAAATCAGACTTTGAAAAGCTTAAAGCCATTTTATTTCTTTTTTCCAGAGAGGGGGAGGGGGAGAAGAGGGGGAGAGGGAGAAAGGAAAAAAAAAAAGAAAGGACGCCGTGCTGGAATAGGTTACCGGAGCCGGAAGCAACGGCAGAGGTGGTGGCCGGCGCTGAAGGTGTGGTGGATCCGGGTGGGAGAGAAAGAAGAAGAAAAGAGGAAGTTTTTTGTGTATTAGATATTTTGAAGTGTGTAGGTTAAAAAATTTGATACATTTTTTTGAAATTTCTGTAACAAAAATTATTAAAAAACTAGCAGCAAATAAACTTACCCAAAAACTTGGGTTCAAACATGGCCTACATTGACACTTTTTCAAAGTTTAGTTGGAACGGGCCTTTTAACAACATAAGGTTTAGCTTAATGATTAAGGGTGAGACTTTTGAATTAGAAGTTTTGAATTTAATTTTTTTTATTTTTTAAAATTCTATCCTTCTCCTTCTGAAAAAAGATTAGGCAAAAAAAAAAAAAAGAAGAAAGAAATCATAAGATCAATTAGTCAAGAGGAGCCAAACGTTCTCCGCATGATGACCTATTAGTTTAGTCGTTCAAGTGGTTACTTAGAAGGAGCAGTGGTATTGCATGGTGTTTTGCAGATTATTTGCTTTTCACTCCATCATTGCACGGTCAACTAAAAGCTACCACAGTCCATTATTAGTGGAGGGCCACCAACGACAGGGGAAAGACTTCGCCGTTGACGTTGACGATGACGACATTGTCGAGAGGAAAAATCCATGAAGTTGAAGGGAGGTGAAGCGGGGAGCCTTCCCCTATCCTCGGTCTGCCTCTACCCAGCTACCCCTGCAAGTGCTCCGTGGCCGTGGGGGCCACTTCTATTTTTATTTTTTTATTTAACTTTATTTATATATGTATAACATTGATAATAAATTTACTAAACATTCTTCTGAATTTTTAACCAAAAATTCAACTTGAAATACAATTTAAAAATTATTTTGATCTTTGTGAATTCATTTCTTCATATTTAATTTTAGATAAAATCTAAATCAATTATCAGTATCTTTTTTAAAACAGCGTGCCCTACGTCAAAAAAAAAGTAATCTGACATTCAAAAAGCATTCTTTTACCAAATAAATAAACAAGAATGATTATATTATTTTACCACAATTTCATATTACATATATATAACCATATTATGTTATCTATTTTATATTCCACAAATATATATATATATATATATATATCATTTAAATTATTGGTAGGGTGGAGTGTGAGGTTTCCTTCCCATCCCTCACTCCATTTCAAGTTGGGGGAGAAAAATGCCCCCCCTCTTCTCTTGGCCTGCCCCCTCTCCGTGGCGCTCCAATCCCTGTTGCCCTCATTGCTATCTCTAAAATTGTTAGGTAAAATTAGAATGAAATAATTGGCATCTCGTGGGTGATTATTTTGCAAAGTAAACACTAGTATTTATGTCCCTAAAACTAAGTTTAATCGGTAGAGACATTAATTAGGTAATGATGGATTAAAGGTTAGATTGAAAATCTTCTCAAGCTCCCCTTTCTCTCCTACCATCTTGCTCTTTATAGGATTTAGTCTCTTCCTTTGAATCAAAAGAGTACTAATATTTGTAAGGTATCCATTAATAGTCAAGGTTTCCTTACCTATTTTATGCCAAGTTCTTGGAAAAATATGATTCTAATTTTTTTCCTTTTCCTTTTTATAATGCAGTTGCTACTTTAGTCAAGACTCAAAACTTGACAGTTAATACCCTCACGTCCAACTTTTCTTGTAAATACCAGGTTCAACCCTTAAACTATTACATAGATACATGTGCATAACCATTTTGCTTTTTCCTTTTTGTTATTTTGACAACAATATAGGTGCATGTCTGTGACTCTCTCTTAATCAGGCCATAAAAAATTTTGATGTGGTACTTCTACTTGTTTCTTTCTCTAATTACAATAATAGGCATTAAAGATTAAAAAAAAAAAGGAAAAGCAAGTAACACGGATACCAATTACTAGCAATGAAAAGGATAAAAATAGCTATATAAATGAAGTACAATATTTGCTTTAATAGTAGGCCTCGGGTTTCAAACTGTTACCCCATAATTGTATCCATATTTCGTTGCTAAAACACTCACAGAGTCAATAGAAGCAACCAGAAAAATAAAAAAAAAATAAGAAAACAGAAAAGAGAAACCTTCATGGAAATTAATTTCTACTTTATAGCCAATGCTACATTTTCTCGAAGTTTTACTTCAAAATTCATCAAATATGTATTACTTTTATTATTGTTGAGTTTATTCTACATTGATCGTAGAAAGAGTAGGCTGCTTGATTATAAGTGCGAGATAAAGTCTCACCCCTTAGTTAGCTTTGAGGTGGGAAGGTCCAACAGAGTCCAACAATCATCAATTGCGATTTTTCCTGATTAACAAGCACAGCTTCACTTGTCCCTATTCTCCTGATTAACAAGCACAGCTCCCTTGTCGTTGTAAATGAACAGTTAATAGCGAGAAAGTCTCCGGAAGGTACCCGACAAAAATACTTTTTGACCCCTATTTCAATTCAAAAGAATGGTTGCCGTATCAAAGATTGATTACTAGTTCCTACTTCCTCATCTGTTACGTTTTTCAGAGCGTAATGGGAATGAAGGCTTCTTTTGATCACCAATTCACAATTAAACTGGAAACACTAATCAATTGAATTCATGTCAGCTCTGGGATGTCCATTCATCTATAACATCCCAATAATAATGTAACACGTCTCTATTGCGAAAGTAGAGAGTCCTTAACCACTTGCCAAGCACTAGATTGTGCTGTCTGCTTTGATTTTGTAGTGTGATTCCTAACTTCTATAACCTCCGTCGTGTGAACAGATCCACAATGAGAATCTCATTTTCATGTAGCTATTTTCTTTAAGTTTCAACAGAAGTTAGTGGAACAAGAATCAAATATTTCCTGAGGGTCATATTGTCTGAAATTTACACTTACCTAGCTCTGTTCAATCAATACCAATCTTTGGCATTTCTTTACCCAAAAAATGCTCGATGAGATGACTATAAATGCTCTTAGGAAGCAGGTAAATAATGCTAATCATAGCCATCTAAAAGAAAATCTTCAATATAGAAGCTTGAATTATTTATTGATTTAAACGCAGACCAGACGTGTACCTCGAGTCAGGAGGGGATCTAAAACTACTTGAGAAGTGAACAAACAAATCCTGGATTAGGCTCAAACTAACACTGTTGTTGTGTGCAGAGTCCGAATTAGGTGCAAAAAGCACGCATTCAACTATAAGCTTGAAAATAATCAATCAGGGTCATTCTTTGAGGGCAAGTTACTTCTAGCACAATCACGGGCTCATTTTCTGCCATGTCATTCATTGCAGAGCTGCTCATCAGCTTGTTAATTGCTTCTTCAATTTTTGCCATCTCGATTATTTTCTGATATTTCGCAGCAAAAGTCATACCACATAACTAAGGTCAAGTATGGCATCATTGTACCTTAATATAGTGCAAATTTGCAGTCCAGGTAAAATTAATTAGTGTCCTTTGCAAGAGGACCTACTGGTTCAGTCGTTCAAGCAAACACAGAAGTTGCTGTGGTAGGACATAAATGTTTCAGATGATGTTCTTGGTAGGGCCTAAGCAGTTCTGTATTGGCCCCGCATTTTTGGGCTAATATTCATGCTTGTCTTGCACCAATGCAATATTGTTTTTCGTTCTTGACAATCGACAATCTTTGCACTACCCCTAAACTAACGTGTACAAGAGAAGATTTTGGGCGGAATCAGGGGGAAAGAAACACACCTCCAGACAAGAAGAATGTACTACACTCTTTGAATTTTACTCTTAATGCAAGGGCATGAGTTGGTTGCGTGTAATTTTTGTCTGAGGTGGGAAAAATGAGTGGATTCCTTCGTGAACGAATTTGGCTCCTTTGTCTAAGGTGGGAAAAATGACTAACTCCTTTGGCTCTAGTATTTGTTTTCAAAAGTCTTCACTTCCGCGTAAACGAATGGATGACAGAAGCCGGCACAGTTTTGTCAAGTTTTGTCCGGCTGTCGTATTCAATGTCTGTGGTACAATCACATTGTATATTGTTGTATTTAATATTTGTGTAATACGTTATTTATATACACTAATACATTACATTATTGTATAGCAAATAATATGACAAATATAATAAACGTTAAAATTTGCATAAAAAGATAACCGTGTCTGTCCCAATTTCACTAACATCTATTGCACTTAGCAGAGGGCTAGTAAAAAATATATATAGAGGGGAGAATACTTGACTGTTGACTTTGACTAGAATAAAAATCAAGCGAAGTAGCAAGGAAACTTCTCAAAATTTCGAAAATAAAATTATTTAGGGTTCACTTTTTTTAGGGTTTACTTGGATGGTATATTTTTTGAGTGTTTGTTACAAAGTTTGTTGTAAGAAACTACAGTTATTTTACATTAATATTAGAAAAAAAATATTAGTTGTTGTTCAAAATACCCCCTATTCTTTCAAAACCTTTCCCCTTCACCCGCCACCCACAAATGGCAATGTTTGCGCACACCACCAGTTTCCTACTTAATGTGTATTTTTAAAAACTTTTGGATGCTTTAAAATATTCCCGTAGCTGATATTTTAAACAAGTTTTTTTTTTTGGTTAAAACAGGCCAAAAGTAGGCCATCTAAGTTCACACCCGCTTTTGGGGACCTCGGGGTTTAGGTTTGTAAAAATTGACGTAAGCGCTTTGAGCTTCGAAAGAAAAAAAAGTTCACACCCGTCCCGTATGTGCCTCAACAAAATGGACAACCAGTAGGGGACCAGCACTGTACAAGAAATGACATGGTTTGACAACGACGACTAAAGGAAACTTCCAGGAAATTGCGAGGAAGGCTTTTCAAAGTGGAGAACTGAAAAAGGAGCAAAACTGACAAATAACATTTGAAGTAAAATAATTTATTTTATAAATTTCAATTATCTTTTTAACTTCTCAATCATTTTTTTATCTTACATACGTCACATCACAAAAAGTACTACAGTAATTATCTCAAATAAATTATACATTCAGCGGAAGCAATTCTAAAACATAAAAATATGTGGGAAGAGGAGGAGAACAAATATTTAATAATTTAATT